CAAAGTAGGCTATCACTCACCCACACCAGATGGAAAACTCTACAGACTGTCGGTTCACACCCCATCACAAGCCAGCAAAACATCCACGAAACAAAGAAAGGTCTGTCACAGCCAAAAAATACACTCCAGACACGCAGCTGGCACTAGGCACAGCATGGCCGCCTAGTAACGGCCCCGACCACTGCCGCTCGACCTGACCGGAAAAACCCGTAGCAGGAAGCTAGCGAAGTCGTAGTATATATCGTCACAAATAGAACTGCCCGGTAAAACGTAGGCAGATATATATATATATATATATATATAGATTGAGAGAGAGAGAGAGTATGAAAGACACAGAGACAGAGAAAGAAGGGGAGAGACAGAGGCAGACACACAGACAGACAATCACAGACGAGGAGAGAGGAGGGGGGAGGAGAGCGGGAGAGACAGACAGAGAGAGCACACTTAAGCAAGAGAGTGGAGCCCGAGAGAGAGAGAGAGAGAGAGAGAGAGAGAGAGAGAGAGAGAGAGAGAGAGAGAGAGAGAGAGAGAGAGGCAGAGTGAAAGTAATGGGGAGGGAAAGGTTTGAAGGGATGGGGGCAGAGGATGCCGCATTGACTGGATGAGCACTGATTCTCATCCTCCGTCGTAACCATGGCCAAAGGATCCTGACTACTCCCACAGGCATCGGTTGAAACTTGAAAATGAATAAGCTGAAATGAAAAAAATTAACGGCTGAGATGAAATGAATGATCTCGACACTCCATAAAGGACTCTATGGCTAAAAAAATAGTAGAAATACATACGCAAGTAAATAAAGACAAACCTTTCAAAAGATGATAAGCAAAGAAAACGCAGTATAGATCAACCCGCAGGCATAGGCCACCAGCCTATAGTGTTCCTCAGCGTGGGGAGTCAACGATACCAGGAGGCTAGAACAAGTACGAGTTGCCCATAGAATCGACACCAATGCTAGACCATACACCACAATGCTCCTGCATGAACAAGACAGAGACACCACACGAATGCACACACACACACACACACACACACACACACACACACACAAATCAAAAACAAGCAAACAAACAAACCACCAACACTAAAAACGAATTACACGACGGGATATATGCAATGCCCTTCATGTGAGTTTCTTCAGTCAGTTTCAATGAATGTCAGCCAGTGGAAGATTCGTCATTCCATTATACCATACACAACAAATTTTACTACAAAGCTTGTATGCCATGCATTAGTGCAGAAGGACGCATTTCCCTTTCTGCATTTCCTTTCCCGCAAGGAAGAAAACGCCCTGGGTACCGTGGAGTGACGCCATCTGCTTATACTTTCCGCAGTGAGGCTGAGAAAACCACATGTAGAAGGAAAAGTACCCCATCATCCTCCACTCTCCGAAGAAATACGGACCGCTCTGGTCCATTACGGATCGCATTTGCCCTGAGGACCAGCACGAAACCGCCTTTCACACCAGGTACGGTCTACTACTTTAGAAAAGTTTATTGTCATGTACCTCAACGATATCCTTATCTTTAGTAGGACTGTAGAGGAGCACGCTGAGCACGTGAAAACAGTGCAGCATGTGAAAACGATGGTAGGGTTCCTAAGACAACACCAGTATAACGTTAACTTGGAGGAATGCGAATTTGGTCGCACCAAGATCTTATATTTGGGTCATGAGATTTCCGCAGATGGTTTGAGAGGCCGGATTATCCCAAAGTGGCCAACATACGTGACTGGCCCATACCTCAGTCTGTCATTTTGGGGGATGACAAGGTACTACCGCCCCTTTGCAAAGAACTTAGTACTGAAGCCTCCTCTCTAACTGGCCTCAGGCGCCTTGACACCCCTTGGGAGTGGACCAAAGAGTGTGAAGCACCCTTCAAGAGATTGTAGTATGACCTGACTGGCCCACACCTCAGTCTATGACTGAGGTGAGGTCATTTTTGGGGATGACAAGGTACTGCCGCCCGTTTGTAAAGAACTTAGTACTAAGGCCTCCACTCGAACTGGCCTCAGGCACCTTGACACCCCTTGGGAGTGGACCAAAGAGTGTGAAGCACCCTTCAAGAGATTGAAGTATGCCCTAACGCACTATGAAGTTCTCAAACTTCCAAACCCTTAACAACCCTTTGTTGTGACACAGATGCCAACCAACGCAGCATAGGCGCGGTTCTTGCACAAAAGGAGGGGAAAAGGCCGATCGAGTACATGAGCAAAAAGATGCCATCTCATAAGAAGTCCACGTATGAGCTTGAGCTATATGCCCTCTATAGAGCGCTGGTCCATTGGAGGCACTACCTCCAAGGCTCCAAGGCAGATTTTTTTTATGTCAGATCTGACCATGAGACGCTACGCTGGATTAAGACACAGCCTGTACTCTCCGACACACTCAAGAGGTGGATTGACGTCATAGATATGTATGACTTCCAGCTCGACCCTCTGAAGAGAGAGTACAATAAAGTGGCTGATGCGCTATCACATAGGGCAGACTATCTGGGAGCGCTAGTGACTGAGTTCGGAATTTTTGACGATGTAATTCGAGCAATGGTGGAAGCCTACCAAGAGGATACAGTCATGTCGGAGATGATGTGCAAACTTGTTTGAGGCAGGGGTCCCGGGCGGCCCGGCCGGTTGGTTCCCCCGGTTTGGCGCCGGGCGGGCCCAGCGCATTTTTGCGCGCGGAGGGGGGAGGCCATTTTCGAAGTGGTTTGGCCCGTGGGAGCCTTCCCGCCCCCCGACGCAATTTTTTTCGACGGGCGGCCTTCGAATTCGAACGCGCAGGTCGTCGAAGAGCTGCCCGTTTTATTTTTTCATTCACGTTGCCCGCCGTCACTGCCTGCCGTCGAAGAGGTGCCCGTCGTCGGAAAGCTGCCCCGTCGTGGTCGATACGGTCCCGCTTTGGTATCCGCCTCCACCTCCTTGCTTCCTCTTCTTCTTCTTCTTCTTCCTCTCCTCCGACTCCACCTCCTTTCATCTTCTTCTTCTTCCTCTCCTCCTCCTCTTCTTCTCCCCCTCCACCTCCTCCTCTCTTCTTCTTCTCTCGTCGTCGTCCTCCTCCTCCTCCTCCTCCTTTTTTTTTTCTTCTCTCCTCCTTCCTTTTTCTTCTCTCCTCCTCCTCGTCCTCCCTTCGTCTTTTTCTCTCCTCCTCCTTTCTCCTCCTCCTCCTTTTCTTTTTCTTCTCTCCTCCTCCTCGTCCTCCCTTCGTCTTTTTCTCTCCTCCTCCTTTCTCCTCCTCCTCCTCCCTGCTTCATTGGTTTTCTTTAGTAGGCGAAGTGCCACGTGTCGGGATTTCTCTCTCTCTCTCCCCTCCTCCTCCTTCGTCATTTTTTTCTTTTTTCTTTTTCGTCAACGCCATACGAAACCGGCAGATCCTTCTCCTCCTCCTCCTCCTCCTCCTCCCTTCGTCTTCTTCTCTCCTCCTCATCCACCTCCTCCTCCTCCTCCTTTCTCCTCCTCCTTATTTCATTGGTTTTCTTTATTGGGCGAAGTGCCACGTGTCAGTCTCTCTCTCTCTCTCTCTCT